ATAAGTAAAGCACTACTGAAGAAGAATAAAGTAGGAGGACTCACACTACCTGACCTCAGAAACTACTATACAGCTATGGTAGTCAAAACAGCATGGTACTGATACAGTGACAGTTACATTGACCAATGGAACAGAATTGAGAACCCGGATGTAAATCCATCCATCTGTGGTCACCTGATCTTCAACCAGGGCCCCAAATCCATCACATGGGGAAAAGATAGCCTTTTTAACAAATGGTGCTTGCAAAATTGGATGTCCATCTGCAAAAAAATGAAACAGAACCCATACTTCACACTACACACAAAAACTAATTCAAAATCCATCAAAGACCTAAATATAAAACCAAAAACTTTAAAGACCATGGATGAAAAAATAGGATCAATGCTAGAGGCCCTAATACAAGGCATTATCAGCATACAAACCATAACTAACAACACACAAACTCCAGAAGATCAGCTAGATAACTGGGATCTTCTAAAAATTAAACACTTAAGCTCATCAAAAGCTTTCATCAAAAGAGTAAAAAGGGAACCTACAGACACCTGGGAAAGAATTTTTGACTATGGCAAATCCAACAATGGTTTAACCTCTAAAATCTACAGAAAAATCAAACTCCTCTAAAACAAAAAGACAGATAATTCAGTTAAAAAATGTGCAAAGGATATGAAGAGACACTTCACCAAAGGAGATGTTCAAGCAGCTAACAAAAAAAAAAGACCAAACTTACTGGTCTGACAGCGACTGGAGAAACCCCGAGAATATGACCTCTGGACACCCTTTTAGCTCAGTAATGAAGTCACTCCTCAGGTTCACCCTTCAGCCAAAGACTAAATAGGCCCATAAAACAAAACAAGACTAAATGGGCACACCAGCCCAGGGACAAGGGTGAGAAGGCAGGCGAAGACAGGAAAGCTGGTAATAGGGAACTCAAGACTGAGAAGGGGAGAGTGTTGACATGTTGTGAGTTGGCAACCAATGTCACAAAACAGTACATGTCCGAATTAATGAGAAGCTAGTTTGTTCTCTAAACCTTCATCTAAAGTACGATGAAAAAAAAGAAAAAAGAATGAAATCCTTGAGAACCTCAATTTCTTTGCCATTTATTATGATGTTTATTGGTCCAGTCATAATGATTTTCACTTTCTTTATGATCTGTGTAATCCATACTGAAGGCTGTAGCCTTTTACATTCATCATAACGAAAGACGAAATAGACGGCACCCAAAAAGTAAGTAGAATAAAGGAAGAGGAGCCAGAAAAAAAATTAAATAAAAGTAATGTCTGAGAAGGAGGAGAAGCATGAGAAAAAATACAAGCCATTGGAGAACTTGAAGAAATCAGTGATCCACAGTTTCAAAACATTACAGAGAAAATTATCTGCTCAATTCAACAAATAACTAAGAAGTCCATATTACATACCAACCAATGCAATATTGTCGATATAAAGAATTTTTGAATTGGGAAACTGAAGAACATCTGAGACTTTTGTCAGAGTAGTGCCAGCACATGGAGGTGTTAGAAGCCAGATAGCAATGGGTTGAAGAATAAATGGGAGGAAAGAAAGTGGAGATAGTCGTAAAATGGTGTTTTGAGGATCTGGTTTGTGAAAGCATGGAAGAATGTAGCACATAAGCAAAACTGGAACAAAAGATTGGGAGAAAGAGTTTAAAATAGGACAAGCTTGCAAATCCATATGAGACAGAGTGGCTGACAACATGAGAGAGAAGAAAGGAATGAACAATGGTTTAAGATCAATGGGAAAACAAAAGGTCTGAAGATGAGAAGCTACTTGAATTTGAAAGAAACACCTTATTATCTAAGACTTAAAAGGCTTAAGTATGAAATAGATTCAACTAAAGTTGAAGGAAATTTGAAAACAAATGGAGGGAAATCACAACTGGTAGTCTCAATTGTTTCTGTTGATAAAAGAGCAACTGGGTTAGGTGGCTTGAGAAAAGTGAGGAGAGTATGGGACAGTTCCTTTGGGGGAAAAAAAGAAAGTAAATTAGGGACATATAAATGGGTTTCAGGCAATGCTGAGTTTCTACCACAGGTTTTTAGCTAAAATTACAACATGGCAGCAGTAAAGATGGTTATGTGCTTTTCTACAACAATACCTAAAAGGAATGATATTTTATTAGAAACGGGAGCTTGAAATGTTTATCCATTGCCGAGATTTAGCAGAGTTCATGGATAGGAAGGAGAAGGAGCTTTATCAACTGAGATAGACTAGGTCACTAATTAAAACTGATTATCCCTTTTTTTTGTAAATCAAGTTTAATTGGAATACAGCCATAGTCATTTTTTTGTATGTCTTCTTTTGGACTATAATGGCACAGCTGAGGAGTTGTGACTGAGAACTTCTATCTGGTGCTTTACATAAAAAGGTTTTCCAATCCCTGGACTAAGTTATTCTATTATAGTTAAGGAAAATGGATCTCCAAATCACAGTAAGAAAGATATATCTCCAAATCTCAGTAGCCTAATAAAGTGCATTTCCTGTTCGTGCTTCGTTTCCAAAGTAGGACAGAAGGGGACTCTGTTCATCATGTTAATTCAAGACTCAAGTGATAGAAATATCATCTCTCAATGTACATCCTTAATCACTGTAGCAGTGGGCAAGGGAACATAAAATTTCACACAGTGGCTTTTAAAACTTTTTCCTTAAAGTGAAGCACGTTACTTCCACATTCATTTCCTTACCCTATACAAGTCATTCGGCGATGTCTACATCAAAAGGGCAAGGATAACCTATATAACCATGTATCTGGAAGGAAGAGAAGCAGGATACTTGTAAATAGTCCTTTTGACAACTACAGAAGCCAAGAAAGTGAAAAAAGTGGAAGGAATATTTGAAGTGATATATGAGATCATTGCCAGATGTGGAATGTCTTGAAGTGTGTGATGGCTTTGGAGAAATGGAAAGATCATGAGTCCAAGGGGCACACATACGTCAGTTAACAAATATAATAGAGGGATATATGAGTGATATAGCAGGAAGTATATGAGGCTGTGCTCATTTTTATGTTATATTTTTTATTGCCAGATTTCACTTGTTTCTGAAACGAAAAATGTCTGTCTTCTCAAGAAGATAGATGAGAGATTTAAGGATTTGAAAACTTAATGTTACAGCATATATTTTTTCACCTACTTTTCCCCAATTTATGTGTAAATTTTTTTACCTTAGCGAACTTTATCATGATAGATTATCTACTGATTTTAAAGCTCCTTTGAAAAAAATTGGAATCTCATTTATTGATTTGCTACTCAAAAGGAACCTTAATGGAGAAACCATTTTTCTTTCTATTCAGATATTTCCTGTGGAAATCCACCTGAAGTGGAAAATGCTAATATTATCTCAAAACAGATGACTAGGTATCCACCTGGAGGGAGAGTCTGTTATAAATGTAACAAACCTTATTCCCTGTATGGAGAGGTAGAAGTGATGTGTCTGAGTGGAAGCTGGACAAAAGCACCTGAGTGCAAAGGTAGAATATCTTAGTTCCTAAACATTTGTAGAGAGATGGTAGCAATAACATATGTTAATATAAACATATAGTAAAGTAGTGCTTGTGGAATATCTTTGTTCAAATGCAAATAAAATTAGAATTCTTAAAATCTAATTCATTTTGTAGACTGAGCCAGGTAATATGATTTATTTGTGTACGAAAGATTTGACCATATTAAAGGAATAGTTGGAATCTTGAAAATTTGTTATTTTCAGCAGGAAGACATGACTGATTTCCTGAAGAATGAATGTATAAGAGATACCTAAGTTTGACAGCTCTATGAGAAGTGGAATAGACAGCTGGAGAGTAATCGTAGAATGTGATACAAATTTAGACATCTTCAGCAGGTAGATTATAATTAAAAGTGTGTGACCAGCTGAGCTCATCTAGGCAATTACTGTTTCTAGAAAGAGAAGTCTGAACACTTGGTCATGGATATGCCAACAGTTCAGAGTCTGTGAAACATGAAGAGCCAGTAAAGGAAATTTTTTTTTCTTTAAATAATGTTTGCCTGCTGTATTTTTTTCCATACTTCTGCTTGAACCTATCAGTGTCTTCAGGTTTGAAGTGAGTTTTTGTAGACAGCATATAGTTGGCTCTTGTTCTTATTTACCCAGTTATTCTCGGTCTTTTAACTGGTATATTTGGACCATTTGCATTTAAACTAATTATTGATGTGTTAGGGCTTATGTCTGGCTTTGCATTGTCTGTTTTGTGTTTGGTTCCTCTGTTCCTCATTCCTTTTTCCATGTTCTTGCCTTCCTTGTAGGTTTCTTGAATATTTTAAAAAAATTTTTCTTTTTGATTTATTTGTATTGCCTTTTATCATATCTCTTTGTATAGTTGTTTTATCTAGTGGTTGTGCTCTGCAATACAATATGCATCTGTAACTTACATCTGTTTGTATTGCTATTTCACTACTTCAAGTAAAGCGTGTAAACTTACTTTCATTTTACCCAGTTAGTCCATTTACCCTCACTACATTTTTTTAAATTGTTCTTTAGGTGAAAGTTTACAGCGCAAGTTAGTTTCTCATAGAAAAATTTTTACACACATTATTATGTGACCCTAGCTGCTATCCCTATAATGTGACCACACATGCCTCCTTTCCACCCCGGATTTCCTGTGTCCATTCAACCAGCTCCTATCCCTTTCTGCCTTCTCATCTCGCCTCCGGACAGGAGCTACCCATTTAGTCTCCTGTATCTCCTTGAACTAAGAAGCACACTCTTCACAAGTATCATTTTATGTCTTATATTCCAGTCTATTTGTCTGAAGAGTTGGCTTTTGGAATTGTTTTAGTTCTGCATAAACAGAGTCCAGGGGCCATGTCTTCTGGGGTTCCTCCAGTATCAGTCAGACCATTAAGTCTGGTCTTTTTACTAGAATTTGAGTTCTACGCCCCCCTCTCCTGTGCTCTCTGTTGTGTTCCCTGTCAAGGCAGTCATTTTGGTAGCGGGGCACCATCTACTTCTTCCTGTCTCAGGCTGATGGAGTCTCTGGTTTATGTGGCCCCTTTTATCTCTTGGGCTAATATTTTCCTTGTATCTTTGGTGTTCTTCATTCTACTTTGCTCCAGTTCGGTTGGGACCAATTGATGCATTTTAGATGGCAGCTCACTAGCTTTTAAGATCCCAGACACCACTCACAAAGTGGGATGCAGAATATTTTCTTAATGAACTTTGTTATGTCAGTTGACCTAGATGTCCCCTGAAAGCATGGTCCCCAGACCCCCGCCCCTGCTACACTGTCCGTCGAAATGTTTGGTAGTGTTCAGGAAACTTCTTACCTTTTGGTTTAGTCCATTTGTGCTGACTTCTGCTGTAGTGTGTGTTGTCCTTCCCTTCGCCTAAGATAATTCTTGTCTACTGTCTAGTTATTAAATTCCCCTCCTCCTCCCTCCCCACCCTCATAAGCATCAAAGAGGTTTTCTTTTGTGTTTAAACATTTTCTTGAGTTCTTATAATAGTGGTCTCATACAATATTTGTCGTTCTGTGACTGACTAATTTCACTCAGCATAATGCCTTACAGATTCATCCATGTTATGAGATGTTTTGTGGATTCATCATTGTTCTTTATCATTGCATAGTATTCCTTTATGTACCCTCACCACATTTTTAATAAAAAAGTCATAAGTACTTCCTCTACATACACTGAGCACCACATGAGATGATATAATTTTGTTTCAACAGTCAACCAAAATGGAACAAACTCATGAGGAGAAAGATAGGGTATTATATTTACACCTATTATTTTTAATCTACTCGATTTTTCTTTCTTCCTTCCTGAAGTCTCAGTTCTTCTGTTACGTTTTTCTTTCTATTTGAGGAAATTAATTTAGCCGTTCTTTAAGGATGGGTCTGCTTTAGACAAATTCTCTTAGTTCTCTTTTGTCTGTGAATGTCTTTATTTCCTCATTGTTCCCAAGGATGGTGTTACTGCTCATAGAACTTGCAATAGACAGTTTCTTTCAGAGGTTGAAAAATCTTGTATCACTTCCTTCTGACCACTGTCATTTGAATTCTTGTTCCCTTATAGGTAATGCGTAATGTCATTCTAGCTGCTTTCAAGGTTTTTTTCTGTTACTTTACTTTTCAGCTATTTGATTATGATGTGTCTTGATACAGATTTCTCTGGGTTTATCTTGTTTGAAGTTCATTCACTTTCTTGAATATACAGGTTTATGCTTTATGCCCAATTTGGGAAATTGTCATCCATTTTATTTTTAATATTTTTTACCCTTCTATACATTCTTTCTTTTCTTTTTAAGGGACTCCAAATTTTTCTATTTTCCCACAGAAACCTGAAACTGTTTACTGTTGTTTGTTTGTTTCTTTTCTCTCTATTTGTAGATTGGTTGATATTTATTATTTTATAATCAAGTTTTGGATTCACTCTTCTGTTATCTCCAATCAATTACTGAGCTCACTAAGTGAATTTTTCAGAATATCTGTTAGTATGTTTTTCGTTAAATAGTCCCCAGTGGATTTTAAAAATCATTGTCAAATAATTTCAGTCTGAGTCATCTCAATGTTAGCATCTGTTGATTGTCTTTTCTCTTTTGAGATTTTCCTCATTCTTTATGAGTGATTTTCAGTTGTATCCTGTACTTTTTGTGTGTTGTGTTTTGAAACTCTGAATTTTATTTAAATCTGATATTTAACAGACCTCCATTCCTGCTATGCAGGGTGCAAACCTGGCTTTCCACATGACCTCGCTGACACCATGGAAAGGGGACAGGTGCCTTGTTACCTTAGTGTGTGAGTGGTAGTCTATGCTACTCGCCCAGCCCTAATGATCACAGGAGAGGGGAAGATAGTCTTTATTTCTTCCATGGTGATTTGCTACAGCAGGTTGAGTATTGTTAAAAAGATTTCTCTCTTGCTAGGCTGCTCCTTTCCAGAGCCTTTGGTTAGAGAAACAGACTCTTCTCGGAACTATTTTGTCTGAACTCGATATCGATTCTGGGTTGCAGGCTTCCCCACTGTCAATTTGAGAATATACAGGAGGCAAAAAGAAAACCCAAATAACTCAGTGTCATATGGTTCCTTGAGCCCCAAGGTCTGATTCCTTCTCTTCATCTTTCAGGGTGTTCTTACTTTGGTTTTATATAATATGTCAAAGATTTTTAGTAATAATTAGCAGAAGTACAGATACACCTTTTTATTCTTTGAATCTTTGCAAGAAATTGATATTTCTTTTGTAATAAAAAAATGACTAGAGACCCAATAAACACTACAGTATTTTATATAATAGAAAGGAAAACTTCCTTTGTTTATCTAGCTATGAATTTTTCAGAATAGTTTCATGAAGAAAACATTGATCCTGTAATGCTGCAAAGCTGATATCTTTATTAGTAGTGTTTTAGTGTTGTTTTAAGGCAGGATAAAAGGAAGAACTGAAAAATTTTGTAGCTCTCAATTTATATGATTAGAATTTATTCAGTGAATGATTTCTGTCCTCAGAAATTCTCCATAGTATACTTCATTGTATTTGCCTCATTTTAATCTGTTTATTGATCTGGTATCTCAATAAATCATATTATGTATATATATTTAGATTCCGAAGGAAGATGTGGGTTCCTCCACCTATTGAAAATGGAGACACAACTTCATTCCCATTACCTCCCTATGCTCAAGGATCAACAGTTGAGTACCAATGCCAGAAGCTCTATGAACTTCAGGGTAACAAGTATATAACATGTAGAAATGGACGGTGGTCAGAACCACCAAAATGCTTAGGTAAGTACTTCAGTATTCTCCTGGATCCTGGGAAAATCAGAGTAATGAGCATGATGTTTTGCTGTTTCTATTTATGAATAGGGAAGAACTATTGTGTTGAATACTTGACTACCAAATATTAATAAAGCAAAACTTGTTGCTATCAAGTCAGTTTTTACTCAGTGCAACTCCATGTGTCACACAGTAGAACTACTCCATAGTGTTTTCCAATATTAATATGTGAGGGTATGACATTTTGGATATTCTTATTGAAACCATAAGTATGAACGTTTCTTTAATGCAAAACTGTTCATGTGACAATTCACATTATGGTTCTCTGATAATTACATCTAGCTATCACATATTAAGCATAATATGTCATTTTTGCATCATTTACTAGTTTCAAGTTCCCTGGGTGGCATGAATGGTTTGCACTCATCTACTAACCTAAAGGTTGGCGGTGTGAGCCCACCATGCAGTGTTGTGAAAGAAAGGCCTGGCAATCTGCTTCTGTAAGGATTACAGCCAAGAAAACCTATGAGACAATTCTATGCTGTAACACATGGAGTTGGAATCGACTTGACAAGTCATAACTGATTTGACTGCAATAGATTAGGTTATTTAGATTTACTGTTTTCACAATATTTAAATATACATGATGATTTTTCAGAAACAGTTTGGAAAGGTTTAGAGAAAGAATTCCTAAACCATTATCTAACATTCTACTCAGACCTTTAAAGTCTATGAAAATAATTTTTTGTGTACTAATAATTTTTATGTTTGTTTTTTCTACATTCAGATGCATGTGTAATATCAGAATAAAGGATGGAAAAACATAACATACGGTTCAAATGGAAACGTGACAAAAAACTTTATTCCAAAACAGACGATGTTGTTGAATTTACTTGTAAATGGGGATATAGACCAACGACACCAAGAGAGACTTTTCGAGCAACATGTCGGGGAGGGAGGTTGTATTTTTCTTCTCATTTGATTCTAGGAATTTTTTGATTCCATCTCAGATTTCTTCTATTACCCAGTGGTTTGTAAGCAGGGTGTTAATCAGTTTCCATGTAATTGATTTTTTTCTCCTTGCTCTTTCTGTTTTTAATTTCTACCTTGGTGGTACTGTGGTCAGAGAAGATACTTTGTATTATCTCAGCGGTTTGGATCTTGTTGAGGATTGCTCTGTGCCCAAGATGTGGTCTCTTCCGGAGAACATTCCATGTGCATTGGGAAAGAATGTGTACTTTACAGCTGTTGGGTGGAGTGTTCTCTATATGTCTATGAGGCCAAGTGGGCTGATTGTGCCCTTTAGGTCCTCTGTATCTTCGCTGAGTTTCTTTCTAGGTGTTCTGTCTTTTATCGAGAGTGGGATGTTGAAGTGTCCTGCTATTGTGGAACTGTCAGTTTCTCCTTTCAGTGCTGTTAGAGTTTGATTTATGTATTTTGGAGTCCTTTCATTGGGTGCGTAGATGTTGACTATGGTTATCTCTTCATGATGGATCATCCCCTGAATCAGATAGTGTCCTTCCTTGTCTTTTATGGTGGATTTTATTTTAAAAGTCTATTTTATCTGAGATTAGTATTGCCACTTCTGCTTTTTTTTTGGCTTCTGTTTCATTGATATATTTTTTCCATACTTTGTTTTGTAATAAATTTACATCTTTGTTTCTAAGGTGTGTTTTTGGAGACAGCGGATTCAAGGATGCTGGTTTTTTTTATCCATTCTATCACTCTCCCTCTCTTTATGGGTGCATTTAGGCCATTTAAATTCGGTTTTATTATTGAGAGATGTGAGTTCATTGCTGTCAGTTTGTAGTTGTTTTTTTGTGGTGTTGACGTTTTCTTTGTTCCTCTTACTCTCCTGGGGTGAATTCCTGGTATTTGTGGATTTTCCTTTTAATTTCTTTTGCTTTAGTAGATTTTGTTTTTGCTGAGACTTTATGTTTTTCTTGTTTATTTTGATGAGCAGGTTTGTTAACTTTCTTTGTGTTTATCTTGAAATTTACCATTCTCTTCCTAGGTTTGAAGCAGTCTGTTATTACCTGGTATCACCTTGTCTACCTCTCCATTAGAAGGTTCATTACATACACCATTTATTCCATCTCTTATTGTTCTGATGTTGTTGTCATTTACAGATTAACCTCTCTGGGTCCCTATTGTAATTGTTTTGGTTTTGGATAGTCCTTGAGAGTTCATTTCCTAGGTTGGCATCTATCCTGCATCCTAGATTCAGCTTGTGGTCTGATGTTGTTTGTTTTCAGATCAAAGGACTTCCTTTAATAATCCTTGTAAGGTTGGTTTGATTTTTACGTAGTCTTTTCATTTCTGTTTATGTGGAAATGTCCTAATTTCTGGATTATTTTTGAGCGAGAGTTTTGCAGCAGATATTATTCTTTGCTGGCAATTTTTTTCTTTCAAGGTTTCATATATGTCAGGCCATTGCTTTCTCACCTGCATGGTTCCTGCTTAGTCTTACTATTTCTGAGCTTAGTCTTATTGTTTCTCCTCTGTATATCACTTTTTGTTTTCCTTGAGCTACTCTCAGGATTCTTTGTTTGACTTTGGTTTAGTGAGTGTCATTATAATATGCACTGGTGAATTTCTTTTGGGGTCTATCCTATATGGGGTTCGTTAAGCTTCTTGGATGGTCGACTTTTCGTCTTTCATGATATGTGGGAAGATTTCTGTCAGCAGTTCTTCAATTATCCTCTCTGTGTTTTCTATTTTCTCCCCCTGTTCTGGTATTCAGATCACTTGAAAATTTTTGCTCTTGATTGTATCCCACATAATTCTCAGGGTTTCTTCATTTTTCTTGGTTCTTTTTTCTGATTTTTCCTCGTACAGATTTCTATCCAAGTGTTTGTCTTCAATTTCGCTTATCCTGTCTTCCATCGTTTCAAACCTGCTTCTCAGCCCTTCTGTGACACTGTCCAGTTCTGAAATCTTATTGTGTATCTTTTGGATTTCTAATTGTTGTTTTTTGCATGATTTCTAGTTGTGAATTTATTTTGGCATTTTGTTCCTGTATTATTTTCCTGAATTCTTCCATTTTGTTGTCTGTATTTTCCATGAATTTGCCTGCCTTTTCCATGAATTTGTCTATTTTCCCCCATTTTTGTCTGTTGTTTCCTTCATCTCTTGGATATCTCTGAATATTAGAGATTTGAATTCCCTATCATTTACGTCCAGTGTCTTTTCTTCTACTGAAAAGTTATCTGGTGTTTTATGTTGTATGCCAACTGGAACCATACAGCCCTGTTTTTGTATATGTTTTGATATTGTCTGCTGTTTTCGGGACATTCTGTAGTTATTTTTCTCATGTATTGATTGCAGATTTGTTTGTTTCATCCTGCTTTTTTGTTTTATTTGGTCATGCCTGAGCAGGAGAGGTGTCCATTCTTTCTTCTTTGTTCATCTGTAGGCACTATTCTTTTCACCTCCTTCTCCAACAGGCTGGGTCAGTCCCTGAGGTATGGTACAGCAGGGCAGGTGCAGCTGAAGGATAGTTGCTGGGATGGGTTGTTTGTGGCATGCAGTAGGGCTGACAGGGTGAGCCATGAATCAGTGCAGGTCAGGTTCCAGTAGGCCATGTCTGTGCTACCTGGGGTGGGGGGTGATCTTCAGCGCATGCTGCAGGTAAGCAGGAAAGGAGGGAGATTATGATGTGTGGAGCTAAGATGGGTATGAGAAAGAGGAAAGAGAGGAGAGAGGAACAGGAGCCAAAAACATACAAACAAACGAAAGAGTGCTAAGGGAGGTTGCTGTTGGAGTGGAGTGATGAGAGGCTGAGAAATGGAAGAAAACAAAAAGGAAAAAAATAAGAAAAAGGGTAAAAGAAAAAAATGAATAAATAAAGATTAGGGAAAAAAAAATCCCCCATGGATCGCACTGGTACGGCTGTGAGAAAAGAGGAAGTTGCTCCCAGGCAGTGAAGTACAGCCTGGCTAGAAGGGTTAGAGGTGTCACACAGTGCCAGGTATTCAGGAGTCAGGAAGAGAAGGTAAGAATAGAGAGATGAGAAACGAAGAAAGACAAAAAAGAAAAAACAAAACCAAAAAAAGACCAAAAAAACAAGAAAAAGTTCCCCAAGGGATCTTCCTGCACGTCTGCGCAGACTGAGGGCATAGCTCCCAAGCCTCGCAGCACTGCCTGTCTAGATGGGGCTGTCAAGCTGAGAAAAGAAAAAGGAAACAGACAAACCAAAATACGACAAAGCCCCAGGGATCCCACTAGTGTGGCAACATGGGCCAGGAATCAATTCCACAGTCGAGCAGCATTTCACAGCCTTTCAGGAAGAAGCAAATATGGCACATGGAGCCAGGTATTTGAGATTAAGGAGGGAGAGGTTTTGAGAGGTATGGAAGAAAGCAAAAGAAGCGGAATAAAAGCAAAAACAGCAGCCAAGAAATGGCGCTCATGGAGCTGGCCTGTGTGGGTGGGTGGAAGTGGCACTGGGTTGATGCTGATGCTTCCTGGCCATGAGAATGTGGCTACAAGAAGCAGAGGAGGCTGGGGGTGTGTGAAGAAATGTGGTGGGGTGGGAAAGCATATATCACTGATTACCAGTTGTTCTGTCTCCTGCTGGAAGCTCTGTGAAGTTGCTTTCCCATACTCCCTGTTCACCTGTCTCTGATAGGAGTCCAAGATGGTGGATCTATGCTGTGTTAGCTGATAGGGGACCTCTGCATGTATCTGTCCTTGCTCTCTGTTCTCTGTCAGTTTCTTATTCCATTCGGTGGTTGGCTGAGTTCCTTATCTCTTCATTTGATGCTTAGTGTTTCAGGATTGACGTTTATCTCTGCTTGCCTTAGTTTTTCGAGTCTTTGCTATGGAGGGACAGCGTGGTGCTTCTGTCTATAGCACCATGTTGCCAGAAGTCCTCTGTCAAAGTATTCAACATAACATCTGAGGCTTTCTGAGACACTCTATTTCAGAGGAAATGGAAAAGTTCTAGTGGTCTCTATCTTCAAAATAATATTACATAATAAACATGTGAAAACCAAATTAAGTCAAGCCTATGCTAGTAGCAAAATATAAACAATTATTTATAAATTCCTAATATTAGCCTACTTGTCTATCTATAGATAAATTTTCCAAAAAAGGTCAAATGTATGATTTTCTACAAGATGTCTAGCACACTTAATTATTCATATTAATTATAAGGAGAAATTAAAATTGAATATGTTTTATAGCAATCATAACACTGACATAAAAAGTGACAAAAATCCAGTATCATGTATAAACACACACGCAAACGAATGTACACGATACAATAAGCTCTGAATTTCTATAGAACAAAGGAAAGTGGATAACATATTCCAATGACTATGTTTGGGTTAAGGAGTCCCGATGGCACAAATGGCTGCTAATCAAAAGACTGGTGGTTTGAACCCAGCCAGCAGCTCCATAGGGGAAAGGCCTGGCAGTATGCTTGTATAAAGATTACAACCAAGAAAACCCTACTTGGTTCTAGTTTGTCACATGAGGTCACTATGAGGTGAAATCAACATGATGGCATCCGTTGACAATATCATATTTGAGTTTTGAGGTAAGAGTATTAGTGTTTAACTCCTTTATTCTTGGCTGTTTTCTAAATTTTTAAATTTTTAACATGTATCATTAGAATTACAAGACTGTTATTTTAAAATAAAGATGGCTAAAAAGACAATACATTTGACGACTCTAAAGACTTTGTAATTATTTTCAGGTCTAATAATACTTTCATGATTTTGTGTGGGGGGGAGAGTTTTGGTAAATAGGCAACAATAAGATTCCAAAATACAATTTTTATGATCATACATTTCAGATAACATTAAATAGTTAAAAAACACTCTTGGCTAGAAACAGTTTTAAATTCTAGAAAAAAACAAAACCTTTAAAGATCAAACTGAATCTTACTGATATAATTGAAAAGGGATCTATAGGAACTACGGCACTAAGAGAGCTGGATGAAAAACTCTCCGTGCTCTTTCTGTTGTGTATACCAAGAAGGATTCAGAGATTTCATTTGTTGAATTTGTCACA